CATCCTCATAGTTTCCATCTAGGATTTATAGTTTCCACTATTATTCTTGTCCTAGTTTCCACTCAATTTAGTACTTACATACTCAACTTCATCTTTATAATCTATTATATAAATTTGTAATGTAGTTATTATATTGAATTACAATTCTGTTACTTTATTGTTTAGCTTAAGGACCTGCCAGAAATGCTATACGTGTTAGTGACTGCAAGAATGTTACTCAAACCCCAATGTATGTACTTTCTCAACCCAATGTACCTTCTTATATGTAAAAAATAAATACATAAAATGTAATCCTATTTTGAATTGTGTAAGTGTATTCTGATTTCCTATTCTTTTTAACTGTTGCTTATGTAATTAATGTATTTTCCAATGCAGAGGACTCAACGAGTGAGGCGGTGGAGTCAGAGGAGCAGATGGAGGAACCCCGGGATCACACTGCTACTGACGCCTCAACGTCTTGTGACATAGATGACAGGGCTGTAGAGGTAGGAAGGAAGTTGTCATGTCAAGGCTGCAGAGGTAGGAAGGAAGTTGTCATGTCAAGGCTGTAGAGGTAGAAAGGAAGCTGTCATGTCAAGGCTGTAGAGGTAGGAAGGAAGTTGCCATGACAGGGCTGTAGAGGTAGGAAGGAAGTTGTCATGTCAGGGCTGTAGAGGTAGGAAGGAAGTTGTCATGATAGGGCTGTAGAGGTAGGAAGGAAGTTGCCATGACAGGGCTGTAGAGATAGGAAGGAAGTTGTCATGATAGGGCTGTAGAGGTAGGAAGGAAGTTGTCATGTCAGGGCTGTAGAGATAGGAAGGAAGTTGTCATGTCAGGGCTGTAGAGATAGGAAGGAAGTTGTCATGATAGGGCTGTAGAGGTAGGAAGGAAGTTGCCATGACAGGGCTGTAGAGATAGGAAGGAAGTTGTCATGACAGGGCTGTAGAAGTAGGAAGGAAGTTGTCATGTCAGGGCTGTAGAGGTAGGAAGGAAGTTGTCATGACAGGGCTGTGAATGTAAGAGGGGAAGCTCTCATCAACAGGTTTGAGTTTTTCAGAACATATACAAATTTAAATAAATTGTTTGGAAAGCAAAACATATGTTTGACTGCTTTTGTCATTTTTTTTTTACTTCAAGCAGGAACTCCATGCAGGTCACCGTTCAATCACCAATCGTCCAAGTGGCTGGGTGCCATTCCTTTCTCCCTGTCCCATCCCAATTCCTAATCGTGTTCCCTTCCATGTGTTATATAGTCACAGTGGCTTGGCACTTTCTCCTGATAGTTCCCTTCCCTTCAAGCAGCCATACTAAAAAGATGATGATTAAGCCTGAATTATTACCAGAAATTATGGATTATACAGTATACAGTAATAATGTTAAACTAACCTTATGCAAACTAACCATATCCAACTCAAACTGCAAGCAACCCAACCTATCTCTCAACTTTATCTGGAATTTTATTTCCTGCACTCACCACATCTTCACTATCTTCCTTTTAGTAATATTACAATTTGTACCTAGATGATGCGTAGTTAAATATTGAAACATTTTAAGGGAAGATTATTCATTTAAGTATATGTTTTTGTAGGTAGTTTAATATTATGAATATTTTCATTAAAAACATTAATTTTATTGTGTGTTTTATTAAATTATAAAGTGTTTCTTATTGCAGTATGTGATTTAATCTTTATTTCAAGTAGGTTTCCTAATAATAATTGTTATTGCTTTCCGTAGTTCTTATTTGTCCATATAACCTATGCAACAATGTATATCACATCAACATTATTATAGCTGATGCCAGGAATATTGTGCCAACAGGCTGGAGAAGGCATTGCTGACCTGGATGTAAGCGAGTGCCCACGAGGCAGTGGAGACTCCAGCAGCTGCCGAGCATCGGGGGATGACCAGTGCCGATCCCTTAGTGCCCTAGAGGAAGAGCTAAAGGTTCTCAGAGAGGAAAATAACAGTTTACAGCATGCTCTGGCCCTTGCTCAACATAATGCCTCTACACACCGCAACAATGTCACAGTTCTTACTCAAGAGAGAGATGCTCTCTGCAAAAAGGTGTGTGTGTGATAGGAATAAGGACTTACGGTATTCAGAGCAGAAAATGAATAAAACTAATGCAACAAAATATTTATGCATTAGTAAAATATGTTTGTGTAATTACCTAAGAGTAGCTACAGGATGAGAAGATTTGATATCCTGTCTTCATTATAATCTGTGTGTCCCATCTTCCCAATAATCATTGTCATACGAGTCTGAAACTACTGATCGTTTTGGCATCCACCACCTTCTCACATAACCTTCCACTCTGCTTGCAAAAAAGAACTTATGTTTTTTTTTCAGCACCTTTGTTTTTGTAGTTTGAATCTACGGACTCTTGTTCTTAAAGTTGCAGGTTTCAAAAATTTCTCCTTGTCAACTGTGTTTATTCCTGTCTCTATTTTGTATGTGGTGATCATAACACCTCTTTTCCTTCTATCCTCTAGCTTGGATACATTTATTTCCTTCAGCCTCTCCTTATATTTTATTTTTCAGTTCTGGAAGCCACTTAGAAGCATGTCTTTGTACCCTTTCTAGTTGATTCATGTGCATCATGAGATATAGACACCATGCAACTGCTGCCTATTCATTTGTCTCACAAATGTTGTGAAGAATGCCTTTAATATTTCACCATCCATGTACATGTATGTACAGCTATTATGAAGTTTGTAAGCATAGCATAGACTCCTTGCACAGTACCCTCTATGTGTGGTCCTCTGGTGACAGGTTTACTCTCCAGAATCCTCCCTGCACCTGGGATCTCTGCTGTTATCCATGTACTTTATATAGATGATGTTAACACAGGATTGAACAGAGATACGATTTAAACGATTCTTCGCGGCAGGGGATGGTATTCCAGGGACCTGCCCGAAACGCTACGCGTACTAGTGGCTGTACAAGAATGTAACAACTCTTGTATATATCTCAAAAAAAAAAAAAAAAAAAAAAAAAAAAAGATACAGTATTTCTAGGACTGTAGATGATAAAAAATTTGGGCAGATAATAAATTCAGGTATTGAATTGCTTAAAGACAATCTAGGTAGGTTTTTAATGTGGACAAAAGATTGAAGGTGCTGTTTAAATCTGAAAAATGAAGGGTTCTGAGCCTTGCTCAGGGTTCAGGACCCAGTCTAAGAAGTTACCATATATCAGTTGGAGAATGCAAAAAAAAAATATCAGGGAGCCACATACAGTAGGGATCTTAAGCTCCCCCCCAAAATTCCTACGAAACAGGGCAAAGAGATACTGTACTCATTTATTTCTAGACGCATCAGTAATAAAATAGTCCCCATGGCACAGTGGTAAAACACTTGCCTGACTCTTCGCGAGCGCTTTGGCCTGGGTTTGTATCCTGGCCGGGGAGGATTGACTGGGTGCCAATCCTTAACCTCTGATGCCTCTGTTCACCCAGCAGTGAACAGGGTGAACAGAGGTTACTATCTCAGTACCTGGTTGTTAAACCAACCTGTCCTCTTACAAATTAGGCACGTCTGAATTTGGCCGTTTGCCCGTATGGCCGAAAATGAATGTACTGTAATTCGAAAATGAAAAAAATTTTAATTAAATTTTTGAATTTTTTTCAAAAACAGTAAGTTAAGGGTTCTCTGGTAGGTTAGGAGGGAAGGAAATTATCCTAAGGTTTCAAAACGTCATGAAAAATGTTAATTGAAAGTTTCCTCTCTTAAGATTAAAAAGTTTTGCATTACCATGAACAAGATGGCAATAAATGAAAGAAGGTGTGAAGGCAATAATTTTCTTCAATTACTTATTATGATTACCTATATGCTTATTAGCTAATCATATTTAATGGTATACCAAATCAACAATTATCTTTCCTTGCTTATCAATATTCTCTTGCAGCTACGAGAGTATCAAAGAATGCAGCCAGCAATGCCTCCACAAGCCCTGCAGGTTGCTGATGCGGTGACAGTGCGGGGTCTAAGAGGTACCCCACTTGCGGCATTTACGGTGACCTCTGGGGGTTCTGGTTTAAGTGGGTCAGGACCGGGCACAGTGTCTCCATCTCCATCACCGCAACCACCTGAAAGCCACACACCCACGCAGGATGATGCACCTATTATCTGTAGACTGGCTGAGCGAGTCAGATTAAAGAAGGTGAGTTGGCACAAGTATTAACAAGGTATGGCTTATTAGCATGGGTAATTTGTGAAGGATATAGGGAAAGAGAAAAAGGAATTAGTAAAAGAGGAGGAAGAGAAAAAGGAGGAAATAAAAAAAGAAGGAAGAGCAGGAACAGAAATTGAAGAATGAGAACAAGAAGGATGACGAACAAGAATAGAAATGGTTGAAGAAGAATAGTAAAAGAGAAGAACATTAATAGAGTGAAGGAGGAATATGAATGTGAAGTGCAATAAGAAGAGGAGCAGCTGGAACAAAGTCAGAAAGGGAAGAAGAATTTACTTGGGTGTTGTGCTTATGGCCTGTCAACTGCACAACAGTCATAATTTATACTGTATTTTCAAATAAAAGTTTAAAATATGGAACTAAATATTAAAACAAAAAATCCATATACAGTCTCTCAATGAATATGCAGAATTTCTTATTAATTAAATTTAGGTTGTTCATATTAAGTCCTGAAATTTGGATAGAAATATTTCCACATAATTTAATCCTAAATATTGTATGGTAAACTAAAAAATTGCAGTCTCAAGAATTTTATTTTGCATAAGTATTTTTGTGCATGATTTTACCACATAGTCTAACATTTATATACTGTCTAAGCTTGCTTAACTGGATTACAGTAATGTATATGGAAAGGACCACTTACTGGATAGACAGAAATTCTTACAAGGGAAGTCCAAAAATGACCATATTCGCAATTCTTTGTACCACAACCAACATAATTTGAATTTCCACACACACACATACTGTATAAACAAAAAATATAATTTAATGTAGATTGTCTTCTGGTTTGATACTGTAAATCTTGAAATGTGTAGTTCTTGAAAATTTACGTTACCTATTCTCCGGTTATCCAGAGATTAGGTAACGTAAATTTTCAAGAACTGGTCCAGCTGTTGTTCCAGGTCCTGGCAAGGTTTGGAGTCCTACCAAGAAAAGGGGGTCCTTCTAGCACCTGGGTGTCGGGCTCCACCTTATTTTTAGGAGCTGCTTGCTCAGTGTCCAAAACCAGGCATTTTTTCCAAGGTTCCCCTGTTTTCAAAGATTCGTTCAGTTGTGTACTTTACTGGTTCGACCTTCTCCTCTGCTCTTCATGTCTGGTCATTTTGACACATCTTTATTGCATCTCTACAGCATGCAGGTGGCTGAATTGATGGTGTCCCACCTTCTTATCTTCTTGGCAGCAGAAAGTGCCAAAAAAGAAGAATGTGCCATGAAATCCTATACAGTATAGGGTTTCTTGGCACTTTCTTCACCGCTTCCATTCTCTTTGTTGTTTCTCCTTGATTTCTGAGCATGTTGTTCTTTTGTTCTGTTCTTGGTTTTCTTGATTGGCATCTTGTGCCAAATTCTGTTGCCTCTTATTGTGCATTGCTGGTGGAGTAACTGTTGCTAGCATTCAGCATTGATTTGTCCTCGGCATCATTTTGGAAGCTGGCCACTACAAGGCTACCTATCACTGCCATGATTCAAAGAATTTACAGGAGCTCTCATAGGATGCTTGGGACATTAATTTTTATTTATTTATTTATATATTCAAGAAGGTACATTGGGTTTATGAGAGTACATAACATTGATATTTTTACATTCTTGCAAAGCCACTAACACGCATAGCATTTTGGGCAGGTTTGCATGCACAGCATTATAGTCTTCATGTGACAGAAATAATCACCTACATGTGCATGCTACACTTAGTGACACTCATGAGAGCCCTCACTAAGGCTGGGCACATCAACCTTGAGCTAAGAGTCCCTCCAGTCTCTACAGATACTTTGCATTGCCCATTCCAATTGTTTGAAATTTGATCTAACTGGGCCATCATGTGGGCACCATGAATTTCAGACAAATGTTACACAATAAAATTGTAAATACTTGTTAAACACAAGCACACATGCACATTCTCCCAATCACATGCTCCATCGTTGCTTGTGACCGCAGATGGCTTCAACACACCAATAATATTGTCTCTAGTCAACGTGATGGTACTCCAATATGAGATAACGATAATCATACTTACTGGACAATGCACATCATTTTGCAAGTACAGTACTGTATAGGTGTGCACACTTGGCTAAGAAATTACCAAACTCTCACATTCATATTGTATTTGGTTATAAAGTACTGGTGAAACTCTCTTACAAATTGGTGATATGTCTGATGCTAGGGTTTCCAGATACTGTACTGTAATTGGTTTTGTGACAAAACTCTGGACACCACTGTGTTTTGTTAATACAGTATTTCCATGGGTATTTCATGTACATTTCTACTAGCCTTGTTGAGACTTTTTATGTTAGCTTCCATGACAATTTGAGTTCTTTGTCATATCTGGCCTAAAAATAGTGCTGGTGTAGCCTAAGATAGGAAACATCAGAGGGGAAAACAGAGCACATCTTTTTTTCGATTCACTCCAGCATTTCTATTGACGTTGGGGCTACCTGTAGCAAGTTTAATTTTTAATAATTAATATATTTTTCAAGAGCATTCACTATTGATACATATGTATTGTGATTTATGAATAAACACACAAGTGGAATGAAACGATTACAATATTTTTACTTTCAGGCCGAGAGTGGAGATCAAAGAATAACAGGAACTGACCTCAGTAGTGTGGGTGTGTGGACAACAGCTGTTGCTGAGCAATTAGTTGCAGGTGTGCAGGAAGAAAGTGATGCCCAGGAATTATATCATGCTCTTGCCACTGCTGGGGGAGCTCTAGCACCTCACGAGAGATTAAAAGAGTTTGAAGTGGAGATAGAAAGACTTCATACAAAAGTGGACCATTTGAAAGCACAGAATGATGTGTTAGCCATTACTCTCTGTGAATCTAAATCACACTGTGATCATTTAAGTATTTTGATGGGTAAATATGAATCTAACTCTATAGCCTTGCAGTTGGCAGTGACGAATTTAGACCAGACTATAGAGGCATATGAAGTCTTGGTTGCTCTACTAGAAAGTGAAATTGGTTTATTGTTGGCAAGCTGCAAGGCTGCGGGTGTTGGAGTGAAGCGGACTGGTGGTGGTGTGGGAAGTGGTGGGTGGAGTTATGCTGACCAGGATGATCTAGTGGCTTTGGTGAAAAGAGCTCAGGAACAACGACGATCTACAGAAAATGTTGCTCGACACCTGTTGTCTCGGTTGGATAGGTCAGAGGTGCAACAGTCTGATACAGATAGCTGGAATGAAACTGGAATCAGTCATAATACTAGGTAAGAATATATTTTTTAAATTAAATTATAATATTTAAAAACTACAAGGCAGGCATTTCTTAAACTGCATACTAGATTAATTGCAAAACAAAATAAAATTTGTTTGTCCTTATTAATTCATACAATAAAAAAAATTAAGTGATGAAGTACAGTTTATGCAAATGGTTTTTTAAGCTTCTAATCACAACTTGGCCAAGGTAAAGTCTCTTAATTTTATGTACTGTACAATAAAAAAATTAATGATATTTTATAAAAACTACATAGACAATTAATTTTTTCAGAGGGAGCTCCTTGTGGCTCCCTGAAGCTACTGTCTCTGGTAGTGTGATATACTACTAGGTCTCATTAGTTGCAGAAATACCCTACCTGGGACCAAGAGCCAGAGCCTGGCCCCCCCTCACAGAGGCACAGGGAGCAGTGGCATTTATATATTAAGTTAATTGTTTATGCGACAACTGGGGAAGACACCCAGAAAGTCAGCGAAACAAAACAAACCACTGTTGGCTATAAATGAGACTGAAGCCTCAAGAAACAGCGATTGAACTCATCCAACAATGTAAACAAATGATTAAAATTTCATGAAATTAGTGCCTGCTCATTCAAAATACACAAAAATTCAAATTTCAATTTAAATTTTTTTTATTCAGGTAAAGTACATACATAGATGAAGAGTTACAAACATTATGTTGGATTTATAGATAGAGCTAGTATATACAATACCTAAAGCCATTAATATGCATAGCATTTTGGGCAAAACACAAAAAGTATTTGTGTCTTTTTGTCTCTGGCTCTTTCACAATTTCTGTTGAACCAGACCTGTTTTCTAGATCTGCATCTGTATTTTGGTATAAATTTTGTTGTGCCTTTATCATATATTTCACAAAACTTGACATACATCTCATTTATCTCATTTAAATCTCATACATCTCATTTACTTCCTTGCCTAGCAGCAAGTCTTTCTGATCAAATTTATTAAAGAACTTTCTAAGTTCCCTATATTGTCCTCTCCTGAAATCAGGTTTTTCAATTGCATCAATTTCCTCATTCTCTTCTAAATTATAATGCATTGCATACTTTATTCCCAAAAGGACATGGTCACTTTTGCCTAAGGGAGGAAGGGGGAGGAAGGTACTAAATATCAAATATCTCTTCCTCTTTCCTGGGGAATATCAAATCCAGCATTAAAGGAACATCCCGTTCCCTAATCCATGGAGCTTGTTTAACATGTTGATATGTGCTCTTGTATTAGTGTACCTGTGCATGTTTGTATTGTAGAGCAAATATTTTTATGATATTGAAAATGTGCTATGAGAATAATTGATACAGGTATACTTACATTTGTAATACTATGTGATTATTATAACTGTACAAATGACTGTAATTCTTACTTTAAACAAATTGAAAAAAACAATGATTATATCTTTCCAGTGCGACTTCATCTACATCTAGCGGTGTTGATTCTGATGTAAGTCGTGGAGATGAACAGCGACTCCGTGAGACTATCAATCGGCTAAAAGAGGAGCGAGGGCATGTATCAGCCTCCCTTCTTCCTTTGGAGTCCCTCCATGTTGACCCTCTAACCAGACACTACCCACTTACTCTTCATGATGCACACAAGCTTGATCTAGAAAATGCAGTATTAATGCAAGAGCTCACAGCTATGAGAGAGGATCGTGCAGAGCTTAGAGCCCAGGTGCGATCTGAAGCATGATTTTTATATTTACTGTACTGTATTATAAAAACTAAGATGATAAGACATATCAGTTATGTAATACTGATTACCCTCAATCCACAAGATATCATAGCATGCAAATTAGGAAATATTGTTTCACACATTCTCATTTTATTTTCTATGAACTGTTTGCCCCCCCCCCCCCCTGTTCCCTTTTCAACCTCTGAATTTTGTCATTTGCTTGCAATTTGCTTTTAATGAATTTATAGATTAGGCCTGTTTCTGTTCTACATTTATCCACTATCCCTGTCTCAAAATTTCTTGCTGCCACGCCTCTCATTTCCATGTACTTGTTTCTTGCTTCTTTGTATTGCTGGTCTGTGTTAGGGTTGGCCTCTTCCTATATTGATTCAATTTTTTCTAATGTTCTCTGGCTCTCACAATTTCTGTTGATCCATTCCTGCTTTCTAATTCTGCATCTCTGTTTTGGTACAAATTTTACTGTGCTTTCATCATATGTTTCGCAAAACTTGGCATACATCTCATTTACTTCCTTGCCTAACAACGTCTTTTCAATCAAATTTATTAATGAATTTACCAAGTTTCCCATAGTGTCTTCTCCTGAAATAAAGTTTTCAACTGATTCATTTTCCTCATTTTCTTCTTGATTATAACTTGTCGCATATTTTATTTCCAAAAGGACTGTGTCGCATATTCAGCAAACTTGTCCCAACTAACCTCATATGACAGTTGTGTTAAAGGTTGCAGAAAGTAGAGAGCGTAGCTAGAGTTGCAAGGTGAAGTTCTCTGGCAGTAGGCTTTGTAGTATGGTGACTGGGGTGGGTGACATTCCATAACAGTGTAGGGGGCCATTGGGGCACACCTTGTCAGCAGGAAAGGGTGTCACAGATTAGATTGTCTTTACCCAGGAGGTGGAAATGCAGTAATGTTATTGAGGAGTAAGCTAGTTGCCATTGACCACAAACCTGCATAATAATTAGGCACACAGAGGAATAGGTATTAAGTATGTGTACTTAAACATTGTCTGACTTACAGATCACTCAGTAGTTCTGCAGAAAGGGGCAAAGAAAGCTAAACCTAAGTTGAAGTTGGATCTTTTGGTAATCATACCAAAGTCTGAGTTGGTCTGTGAATTTAGGCAATACAGTTGACATACTAACAAATGCAATTACAGTACAAACAAATACAAATATTTGTTCAGGTAAAGTACATACATACAAGGTAAGATACAAAAGTTGATGGATTTATAGATGGAGCTAGTACATACAATAACTACTAAAAGTTACCTTGAGGTGCTTCTGGGGCTTAGCGTCCCCGCGGCCCGGTCGTCGACCAGGTCTCCTGGTTGCCGGACTGATCAACCAGGCTGTTGGACGCGGCTGCTCGCAGCCTGACGTATGAGTCACAGCCTGGTTGATCAGGTATCCTTTGGAGGTGCTTATCCAGTTCTCTCTTGAACACTGTGAGGGGTCGGCCAGTTATGCCCCTTATGGTGTCTGGATGATTTGAGGATTGTTGCTAATGCTATTGGTCTATGTGGATATGTACCTAAAATCAATATTAAACCCCAAAATAATTCTGAATAATAATTTTGTGTGCCTTTGCCCCTACCATGTGCTGGTTTAGAGGATCAATGTCCCCATGGCCTGGTCTCTGACTTCTCTCTAACATACAATCAAATATGACTTTGGACAGTCAGGCACCATACGAAACTTTTCAAACAGTATCCGGAAGGATATATGTCAGAGTCATTGGAAAGTACATTCTAAACTATTTTATCTTACATGTAAGTGACATTCTCCAATTTGGATGATATATAACTTCAACAAGTTGACCAGACTATGTGATGATTAGCCTTACAGTAGCTGACTTTATTTTCTCAGAATGTTCACTAGGGCCATTTGTACTTATTTATATTTGTTATAAATTTTTTGTCAGGTATACCTAATGGATAGAGAGAAGGCTGGTCTAGAATTACGAGTAGGGACCTGCGAGGCCCAGGCAGCAGCGTACTGTGCTACCATTGACCATCTTAAGTCTGAACTGGCACAGTTACGCCCAGGAGGCAACCAGGTGAGTGCATTACATTTCTGGAGGAAGCCCCCCAGTGGATCCATGAAGCTATCTCCTTGAGACTGCTTCATTCTAGAAGGTCACATCAGTCATGGAAGTAACATTTGGCCTGCTTGGAACCAGAGCCAGAACCTGGCTCCCAGAGGTACAGAGAGCAGGTAACAATTCGCCACCCCACTAGGAAAATCATGCAGCAAGTCAGTGCAGCTTTACAGGCAACTGGATGGTTCACAGGAAATGCAGCCTCAAAACTGCCCAACAACTCCCCAAACGATTCACACAAAATAAGGGATTCACTCAAACAAGCTTGAGACATGTTGGCACCAAATGCCACCAACAGGCAGCTCGGCCTAAGCTTCCAGCAGGCTCCCCAAGTCATGTTCCTGATGCTGATGTTTTCACACCTGCTAGTAGTGCTTCTGGTGTCTCCAGCTCACAGGCAAGCCCAAAAGCTTCAAGCTAAGTGCCAGCCATCCTTAGACTTCCTTGTGCTGTGGGGGCCATGTGTTTTTTTGTATTGTTTCCTGTTTTAGTGTTAATCTCATATGTGTGTTCTGATTCTGGCTTATTGAGTGGGCTTGGCTCATTTGACATTTTGAGCTGCATGTACTCAGGGTTCTCTTCCGTGTGTGCCTGCTAATATTGCCCTTGGACAGTCAGAGCTTACCTTCTCTGGCGTGTTCGGAATTTTTCCTGAGAGGCCTGACCACTGGGGGTGGGAAGCTTTGCCTTGGGCTATTCAGGCATTGTGGATTCCTCTGTTTGGGCCAGATTCTGGCTTTGGTCCCTGGTAACCTACAAAAACTTCTGTATCTGATGTGACCTCTTAGTATGGAGTTATCTCGGCAAGATAGCTTCAGGTAGCCACTGATGCTCCTCCAGAAAATTTTATTATATTCATCACTGGCTTTATTTTTTTTTATATATAGTTCTAACATATTGAACTCTCATAATAATCTTATATTTAATCATGCCAATTCCTATTGGAATTAGCATCATCTGGTTTGTCTTTATATACAGTATTTTTTAAATTTATAATATAAATTTTATGCTTTCATCTGGTTGTGACTAATTAGCACCTTCAGTTTTGGGCATTTATAGTATGCTGAAATGAAGAAACTTTTTTCATCTATTAAACAGTTAAGAAATATGATTGTGTTAATCGAATTGCATAATGTCAGGAGGGAGAAGGTGATGGTGATAGTGGCGTCGACTCCTCGTCTCCAGAGATCATGGAGGCTCTTAGACGAGAAAGGCAACTGAAGGCCCGAGTGCAGGACCTCGTCACGACCTTGGAGAAGGTAACCAAGAACTCTGAAGCAAGACATATGCAGTCCCAAGAATTTATCAATGATTTGAAAAAAGCCAATGGGTAAGTTGTTTTGAAATGTGTAAGAACGATATTGTAAAGCAAGTACTGTAGTTTGGTTTCATTTTTCAATCTCCTTGACTGGAAAATAAAGTTAAATTAGTATTGAATATATAGATAATAACAATTCATGTAATAATTCTACAGGTTTGATAAAGTAATTTAGTTGTATCTGTTTTTAGTGTATATTTAACCTACAGATCTAGAGAGCTCTAACAGAATGAAAATATAGTACTGTACACTTAACATATTTTACTATTGTTAATACTAGTTAAAACAGAATTTGTATTTGTCACAATTATATATTTAATTTCAGTATTAAGTATAATGTGAATCTTGTATTATTGACTATTATGTTAAGATTTAAGCCTAAGGCTGTGCAGTAATTCAGTAATGTACAGGACTTTATTTTTGTGTTAATAAGTTTATACTGCAGTTTCCTTGCTCAATACACAATTTAATTAGTTCTAATTAAAGTCTCAAAATTGAGTTTGACAGCAAGTGCAAAGCATTTTCTTGACCACTGTACTGCCCCTTAGTTTAAATTGACAATCCCCCTGTCCTCATAAAAATGATTATTCCACCCAAATGTTTTTTCATTCCAATATTGTTAAAATGCATTTTCTGATCATGTGAATATTAAAAAAAAATTGCATGTGCCATACTTTGGTCGTGATGGGATGAGGAAGTCTGGCAGTATTCAGGCGTTGACAGAGTACTCACCAGCAGTGGTTTGCTCCAGCCCAGCAGTGTGGTGGAGGCTGCCACAAAGATATTTTTATATAATTATTTCAATGTTTTTGAATAGATTTTGATCTAGTTTTCTGGGGGAAGCCTCTTGTGGTCCCATGAAGCTACAATGCTGATATAGTCCCAAACTACTAGGGGCTATCAGTCACAGAGTTCTTTTCAACCTCTAGAGAGGGGCAGAGAGCAATGGCACCATGATACAATTGTCAGTGAATTTTAACCCTTCAACTGCGCATCATAACCAGGGTTGTTTCATCGATGGTGTGCGCCACAACCAGGGTTGTTTTTAGGTATAGCGTAAGATTCAAAATACCTGTGAGTGCACAGGTTTCACACCCTGTTCCTCAGGACTCCAGTAAACAGATGCCATCTTGAAAAAAAAATTGCCTGCATCCCTCCTGGCTATAAGAGCCTCAGTACTGCTAGAGCGACTGAGGCCGGCACATGCTGCTGTAGCTCACAGCACAGCTACACAAATTGGGGCTACAGGACCTCTAAATAATCATGAATAAAATAAGAACTGTAACTGCAATTATTTTGCAAGGATAGTGACACAGATGATCCTGACTAATAAAAATTATGAATAAGTTCAGATATCAGTGACTATAATGCTTGTAATGATGTTCACAGCAGGAGGTGGACATTTACAGCACACAGCCGAGGTTTGTAAATCTATGCATCATGCAAAGTGTGGTGTTCCTTTAGAAAATAATCTTGTGGAAAATTATTCATATTCATGATTTAGTGACAGGAACCTGATAATAATAGCAGTGTTTGGAGAGATAATAGTGATGTGCATAGTACTGTATATGTCTGGATATTTTGCTCTGTCAGGTATAGTCGGCTGCTTGAGTCAGCTGGTCGTAGCATGCAGCTCTATACAGTACTGTGCTAAGATTTCATCACCATTCACACCAGAATTACTTAGTGGTTCATTATACTGTAGTTAATAAAAATAGAGGAAATGTACATAATAATTCAAAGTGTGCACATAATTAACACTTTTACCCGGGGACGACGCAGTACTGTATGGCGTCAAAAATTTATTAGACGAATGTGCGGGAATGATGCATCGGTGCATCAAAAAATAAAAAACGCACGGCCTGCTTTTGCCTTGGCTGCGGGTGGGACGTGCCACGGTTTTGGACATTATATGCATATACTCCTGTAGGGTATATGCATTGCGAACACCAATTGATACCAAAATGAAAGACCTAGGACGAGAATTGAGGTGACCAAAGTGAAAAAGAGTAATAATATACACATTTTATTGCTCTTGCACGCTCATGGGTAACGCGCAGCCAATTTCACGGTTTGGTGCGGGTGGTACGCCGGACTTTTGGACTTTATATGCATATACTCCTGTAGGGAATTCTTTTGTGAATACATTGATACCAAAATGAAAAACTAGGACGAGAATTGAGGTGACAAAATTGAAGAGTATACACTTTTCAGTATTACTGTGCGCTCACGTGGAATGCCCGGCCCACCTTAGGGTGGTCTGGTGCTCGCTCGCCCAAAGCGCAAAAGTGTTAATGTGTGTGTATATAGTGTAATAAGAACAAAAACACTGTTTTATTGATCTAAGAATTATATGTGTCACTAGATATGAGCACCATACTTTTTAGCATAGCGATGTTCCACACATTTTATATAAATTCCTCGATGATTGAGGATCAACATCCCCACAGCCCAGCCTTTGACCAGGCTTCCTGTTGGTGGTCTAGTCAACCAGGCTGTTTGATAGAGCTAGTAATATTATACTCACTATTGAATAATATTACTGCAAAGCTAGATATAAAACCATATAAGACATTGAAATAAATGTGTAAAAATGTGTTTGCGGCAGCCCTTGTCACACTGCTTGGCTAGAGCACACCACCGCTAGCGTGTCCTCTCACAGCAAACGAATATTGCCAGAGTTCCTCGTCCCATTACAGCCAAAGTACAGTATATCACATACAATTTTTTTTTTAGTTTCCCATGATCAAAGAATGCATTTTAACAATATAATAAGAAAAAAGTTGGGAGAATACATTTTTCATCTGTGCACTGGGAGCTTGTCATATTTTATATCTGTGCAATACAGTGGTTAAATATTGCTAAACAGCAGTAAACATTCAAGCGATGTTTGCTGCTTTAGTAATTATTTAATTTATATTTGCAGAGCACTTTTGACAGCTGTAGATCGCCTTAAGAAGAAATATGCACTAAAGGTGAAGCGGATGGAACAGCAAATGATGGGAATGGTTGACAGGCATGCTCACCAGGTGAATAGTGATGTGTAAACTTTCAGAGTACTAATACTTATCCACTGTTAATCAACTATCTATAAAGTCAATTGCTTTATTTATGATGTCTGAGGCATGGCCAATGTTCTGAATAATGGCAAAATTTGAATAAATATCCATCATTTTGTATTAATATTTCTATGTCAACCACCAGACTGCTTTGATCTGGAATGTTTATTTTACTGGCTCTGTGGCATGTACATGTAATCAAATGGCTCTTTGATTTGTGTTAAAAATTATGAAACATCTCTTCAGTGTGCTAGTTTCATGGATCTCCTATATATCATGCAATAACTAGATTTGGGTATATATTCCAGTTATCAGAAGCAGATCTGAAACATGAAAGTGGATGATGTGGTTTCTACAGGTAATTTAAATTTCAACCTTTACTTTAGGAATAATAATTACGTATAACAAAATAATTTGCTGGAAGGCACAAAAGTCTATGAATTATGTCTACCATTAACAAGATTAAAGCTTTCCCTTTCTTATAGCTTATCTTAAATTTTACCCTGATAGTTTTCCTTGCTGCACAACCCATCAAACTGTTTACAACCAAATCCTTAATTACTGCTGTGTCACCTGGAGTGAAAGGTTAAAGATTGATGTCCGAACATCCTTCCATTACCAAGGCTCAAAAACCTGATGAGTAATACAGAAGGGTTCATCCTCTACTCAAAATCAAGAATCTCTGGTTTAAATCTCAGGTGGGACAGAAACGGTTGGGCACATTTCCTTTCACTTAATGCCTCTATTCACCTAGCAGTAAATAGGTACCGAGGACTTAGTCAGCTAGTGTAGTGCATCCCGGGAAGGGTCAATAATTTGATCTTGGGGAATATACTGTACAGGCATAATTAGACAACCTCTTCCAGTATTCATAAGATAACTTGACAAACACCTTCAAAGGGTACCTGATCAACCTGGCTGCGACTTCATACGTCAGGCTGTAAGTAGCTCTATCAAACAGCCTGGTTGACTAGACCACCAACAGGAAGCCTGGTCAAAGGCTGGGCTGTGGGGATGTTGATCCTCAATCATCGACACACAATTGACAGGTAATCCTCCACTTTATCAGGTGCTTCAATTTGTGATAATCAGCTATGGACTGGTTTCTTACCAAGGCAGAAAGCTGGGGCTTCTGAGGCACCACCTATCAATTTCACTGTGTCTGGCTTGCATTTGCATGCTATGTCACCACTTTGCAATGGCAGATGGTTTCAGCAATGCATCCATGGACTCGGCAAGATGTAAGCAAGTGTCCATGAATTAATGTGAGTTCCTTTCAGGATATTTCAGAACACTCAGTGATATGCACAAAATATCACAAAAAATACATGGACATAAGCTGACGTGTGTAGTATGTTGTAGTATGTGTGGTATGTATATATATATATATATATATATGTATGTATGTATGTATGTATGTATGTATGTATGTATGTATGTATGTATGTATGTATGTATGTATGTATGTATGTATGTATTTAAAGGGTACACATGCACCCTTCTTGGCTGAGTGATATGGTATCACTCAGAATACTACTTGATCACTTTCAATAAAGTACTTAACACTCGACCCCTACCTGTTGCAGGTGATCAATGAGGTGAGCAGGAATGGTAAATCAAAACAGAGTAACCATACTTTCAATAACTTGTAGGCCTTAACCTTCATTCACACATGGCCACATAGATGACAACCATCAGCTCCTCGAGACAGCTTTTCTAGTAAGTGGCGTGCCAGTCTTGTCAAGCCTGCATTTGACAGCATATGGTATCTAGCAAGATCTCGCACGTGATGGACATGACAGACTCATGGCTGGTGTGGTGTACATGGCATGAGAGGTGTTCTCTACAAATGTGGTGACGTGTGTTCAGTAGAACAATAAATCGTGACCCGGGCTATACGAAGGATGCAGGCCATTTGTGCCCTTACAATAATACCCGCAGTACATCACATGGGTTCACACATGTTAACATACACAGTTTCTAAATGGCAGAATGCAAAAAAGGACAAGTGGCAAACAACAGAATGATGGCTAAAGTTAATCTATCTTCCTCAAGATTAATTTAAACATGTCATACTTGAAACATTTACCATTTTACTCTTTTGTTACATTAATTAGACAGTTACTCTTATGATTATCCAGACGAATCATGATATGGACTTAGGCACTTTTCCAGTTTGTTGCTTCTGAATGGATCAGTTGTGAATCTTGCTTTATAACAGTTACACTTCAAGGCAAATGTCACACTGGGGATTCCTTTCCACTTGCATGGTATTTTATGATCCACTGAATTAACTTGAAGTCTTTGGACTTGAACAAAGTAGTTTAGATTTTTGGCCTGACAGCTTATTTCAGCACTTCATATGTTGATAGCAGTTATGGCGGGAATGAGGTTTGGGCAGCAGCTCACACTACTCCAGCTATCCAGGGCTTTATCTTTTGTTTCCACCAATCAGGAAAACTGTTTCAACGATATGGGTATGCCAGCTTTCCAATAAGTTGTTAGAAGTCATGTAGATAGGTGACATCATGGCTACATGGTGGATGCCCGAGTCGACTCACTGAGAGTGACCCGACTCTCTGGCTTTCTAATCTCTGGCTTTAGCCTGAGGGCAATTTTCACTCCTTATAGCTGAGCTTGGGATGATGGGTGAAGCTTACTCTATACCAACAGGTTCTAATGTGGTATATCTCTTAACTGATACAACCTACACTATACCTTGCAATACACTGTACCACCATACTGCTTGAGCCATGGGTTCAAGGCTTAACATTAGACACCGGACAAGCTAGATTTATCTACAGAATTAGCAGATAGCAAAATAAGATTTGTTAACTGAACACAATGGGTTAGATTCCATGACTCTTGTTGCATATGGAACAGCCCTACAATAATGCAACATAAGCCAGTGGCATGGGATTCTTAACCCCTTAACTGCGTTGCCTCCAAATGTGACACCCCCGCAGTGCGCAGGAAATAAATTCTCTGGAAAAAATTCTTTTTTCTTTTTAAAGTGTCAAAACCCCTTCCCTCAGTATGTGTATGTAAAAAAAAAGTCGAAATTGTACTTACTTTGGCTGCTATGGGGTCCGGAAGTTGGGGCGTGACGTCATCATTCCCCGTGCGCCCGTGCCATAAGCTCTCGGGGGCGGTGGGGCGCTCGGGGCGGGGTGCGCGAGTTGCCGCGAATATATTTTCGTTCATTTTTTGCGCACCTTTCCAAATACATTTTCATTGTTTTTATGTGCCAATCCAATGTATAATGAACACGTACACTAATATCGCAGTACAACATCCGCACTGTCCGTAGATACTGTGTTACGTGCATGAAACTTGTGTACACATATGCAGCACATATTTACTATGTATCATGCTAATTTGTGTATATATACAATCTATTTACACACTATACACTGTCACACACTATATACATTCACCATCAACACGTTCAGAACACCGCAAGTGAGAGCTGCCACACCCAGCCAGTCTCCCTCACTCCAACATCTTACTCGCCAACATTGCTCATCCCACCATATTGCTATAGTTCTTATTACACATGTTCTATATATCTATCTACATGTTTTATTTACCAGAACTATGCAAGTAAGCCGGTATTGTGTCCAAACAGTACAGTGGCCACCATACACTGCATGAAAAATCACACAGCAGACGACGCTACGATTACGTCACCTCCCTCACCAAAATAGCTCCTCTCAACATTCTCCTGTTGCTGTTCTTACACTATATACACACACTATATATACACCCATGTACATATGTGTTGCCCATAGCGAACCACTAAGCTAGTATGGTGAGCAAAACAAGAGTGGCAGCCACACACACACAATGAGGCTACCTCAATTCTCGCCCTCCCTCCGTCATCAAAATTCCTCCTTCCACAATACTACGCACAACACTAATTATAACCACAATCCTGCTATTATCACAATCCTGGACACTAATTCCTGTAAATGAATAATTGACCACACGTTTATTTTGAAAAGGAACCTAAGAAATCATTTGAAGATTCCTAAATGAATGAAATAATGCTGTGGTGCTGTGGCTAGCGCTGTGAACATCGTGAACAGCATTGAATCACTGATATTTGAACATTGTACCCAGTCATTATCACACTCAGGCTCTAATATAACACTATCATAGCTAAATAATACAAGTTATATATATATTTTGACATTATTAGGCGATGCTGTGGTCACATGCTGAACAGCAGTGCTGTGCGCTCATGCTACGAGCGCCAGCCTTGGTTGCTCACACACTACTGAGGCTCCCACACCCGGGAATGTGGACCACGATTTTTTTTAAAGATGGCGTCTGTTTACAAGAGCCCTGAGGAAGCTGATGTGAACCCCATGTAGCCGCGAGAGTTTTGAATGGAACGTGAAAAATACAAATACCCGGAGGCGCGTTGCGCAAACCAGACGTGAGCCTGCAGGCGCGTTGCGCAGTTTAAAGGTTAAGAGACTACTCTTTCACACCACCTGTTGGCAGCCATTTGCACTAGGGAGTTTGAGTTAGTTTTTTGCTGTCCTATATCTGAAAAGAATTCTTGTCCTTATGCCAAACTCCTGTGCCATGCTTAACAGTCAATTTTTGAACCAATTTCAGCTTTCAGTCAATACTAAACACTAGTCTCTTTTTTTATGTTGAATGCTTCAGCATAACTAGCATTGCTACCCAATAGCTTTCCTAGTCGAACAAAAGTAACTAAAATACCAGCATTGAATGCGACGAAACATTTCTTTCAGTTGCTCCCTGAAGCTATCTCACTGAGATGTCTTCCATCTACTGAAACACATCAACCATAGGTGTCCTGTATGGCCTACCAGGGACACGAGCCAGAACCTCACAGAGGTAGAGAGAGCAAGTGAATTGATACAATCACCCACACACTGAGAAAGCATCCAAAAAAGTAAATGAGGCAATATAGATAACTGCAAAGTTCACAGAAAACAAAGAGCTGAAACAACCAAATAATTCTGCAAACGATTTGTTTAACCACCGTACTGCACTGCTGTTAAAATAATTGGCTTGCTCAAGGACAAGTTATTGAAATCTGCCACAAATAGGAACCATTTTGGTGTTAGTACAGTATATTAAATAGGAAATCTCTTAAGGAAGTAAGTATAAGGACTTAGAAAAAAAATTAGCAAGTGGTTTACACAGCAGCATTCCATGGACAATGTAATTGGGTAGGTTGGGGGTGTCAGATTTTGATTCCTTCTAATAAGTTTGGCAGTACAGTACCTGATAAATTTCTGACTTCATTGGTTACCTTAAGGTTACTTTAAGATGGTTCCTTGGATCAATGTTGGAAGAGGTTACTTTTCCTGGGGTCAGCTTGCATTTCCCTATAACTCACCAGACATACGTGCTCTGAGGGGTTGTGGGCTTCCTCATCTATGACTACTCTCGAGTCACCTCGCTTCCAGGCAGTGCATAAGATTTATTCTTCCTACAGCGTCTGTTGATAAGGAGAAACATTCTTTAAACTGTGTTGTGCACCTAAGAAAAAGTATCCTTAATCATGTCATTTTTTGGGGGCAATTGGTGTAATGTGTGATTGCAGTGTTTTGAGGAAGATTTATATTTTTAATTTCTTGAATCTACCACACAGGGTAACAATTTTTTCTGTTGCCAACAAATGGCTGCTCATCCTGTGTCCAAATTCTTGTTTTAAAGGTCAAATGTTTGACTGAACATTCCTAATTATGTGAGGAATGATAATTATTCTTCAGTCTTACAATTGTGATGGTAAAATGGTTATGGTTGCAAAGTAATCCTTGTAAATAATGTATATTTACAACTGAACAAATCCACAAGGGCCTTGATGAGGGTTCGAACCTATGCACGAGATGTTCCCAGATGTGTCTTAGTCAACTGTACCACAACATGGTAAAGGAATTGCAACCTGGAGTGCTACTGCCCTCACAAGGATCCCAGTAGCACTCCAGGTGGCAATTCTTTTACCATGTTGTGGTACAGTTGACTAAGGCACATCTGGGAACATCCCGTGCGTAGGTTCAAACCATCATCAAGGCTCTTATGGATTTGTTCATTTGATATATCATGTTATTGTGATTTCTGTGTGTATGTTTACAACGATTTGACTTTGACCTTATGATACATAAAAAATCAAGAGTATTCAAAGAGAAATAACTTGCTCAAGTCCAGAAATTTTTAATACATTATGATTTATTTTTACAGAATTAAGAATTAAGTTTCGTTGTTTTCAGGTGCGTGTTCTGAAGCAGAAGTTATCCACACTGGAGGATGACACAGGCTCCAGGCAAACACAAATGATCTCAACTGCTAGTGAGACATCACTCTGAGGATATATATGTTGGTTATATACTTTTGTATTTCATAGTATATTTGTTATTTATCTGTACTGTTAAAGTGTGAAAGAGTTTGTCTATGCAATAACTTTCCACTCAAGAGTCGCAAGTGTGTCTTACGACATAAACAGCTGGCAGCTGACCATAATACACTCATTTTCCACCATTCCAAGATTATCATGACTTAGAATGTATGACAGTTGTTCATTGATGTACCATAGATGAGAACCATTTATGCAATGTACAATTTAGATGCACAAGAAAAGTCTTTTGAAGCAGTAGAAAAAAAATATAGAAAATTAGCTATAAGTATGTTAGAACATGAAAAAGGTACCTTAGAGCCTTTTCATGTAGTTCAAATTTAAACCAAATGACTAAGTATCCTCAGAAACTAACAAAATATGGATTATGTTTGATTTTTGACAGTACTGTAGTCATAATTAAAGAAAGAATATATCGTCTAAAACCTGATGAAAATGATAAGATTATCAAAACTAAAATTAAAAAATCAGTAATGACCTTATATATTTTTGTCTATATTTCCATCAAGAATGGTCAACACTGTTTCTGACTTTAGTTTTGGAGAACTTTTCTGCCTTCACTGACTAGTGTATAGGTAAGATCTGTAAGATCTTTGGCATGTTGGCAAGACTCCTCAGGAAACACAATCAGGGATAGAAAAGAAACAAGACTGCAAGGAATAGACAATGCAAAAATTCTTGTGGGGAAAATAACAGTTCCATTGAATGAAAGATGAAAATATGCCGAGAACTGAGAATCACAGAAAATTTGTTGCAGCTGTACTTATGCAAATCATTATTGTTCCTTAATAAACTGATGGCAATCAAAACTATGATATGATAAGTAGTGAGTGAGGCACAACGAGTTATGTCGCAGTTACAGTACAGTATACAAATTTGACTTTATTGACGTTTGTTCTGTTTCCTCAATATGTACATACAATATATGGCGAAGATTCATAATATGCTTTTCTGTGAAATCAAGATATTATTCCCATATTAATTATAGTTGAATTTTGCTGAGGTATGGATGGCTGTGACACACACTAACAAAGGAACGTTAGTTATTGTTTGTTCCCAATATGAAGATGTGTTCATTACCGCTATGGTTAAAATAGCAGTCTCGCCTATCATTGTTCAGTGGAAAGACAATTTAACAAACATTTTCCCCTAATCATTGACTGGTAATTCCAGAAATTAATATTTAAGCTGATCTTAGAAAATACTACCATATAATTAAAGCTTACAATATGACACTGAAATAGTTTGTAAAAAATTGAAAGTAATGCGTGCATAAATAATGAAGTGAACAAATGAGTGCCAAACTAGTCCAAATGCATTATTAGAGATTATATGTAAAGTACAAAGTTTTTGTGACTCATAATAGAAACCAAGAATTATAGTCAGAAATAAGATAGAAACCCGTGTGTTCATCCAGTGCACACTCCTCATGAATTTATTTCTGAAATTTCCTCAGTAGACAGCCTTAATGGCAAATTATGTTGTGTTTGTTGCTTCTTTAAAACTTCAGATGTGATCTGTGAAATAGATACCTGTACTAAATTGATTTGTTGGAAAGAAAGTCATTGGCCTCCAAATTCAGAGCAATAGTATTGAATTTTGACTCAATGTAGGGAGTCTCAAAGTAAGTTTACAGTAATGGGTAAGGAAATTTAAAACTAAAATGAAGAAAAAATAAATTAATGCTAACATTCTAACCCAATTCAGCCAATGCATGACCCTGCACATCTCTACTATTCAATTTACCATTTGTTTCTAAGCTTTGGGTGCTATTGACACACATTCCAAATGCCTGTGTGCCAAGAAAATATTAAGCTGCTGATCTGAACTAGCCACCTGCAGACTTACCTCCCTGGAAATTTAATCATTAACCTCCTGCATCATATTGTTTCTATTAAGGGTCAAATGTGGATTTGGTAAAAATGAATTTCCTTTTTCCTCAAAAGTATAATACAAGTTTTCTGAATGACGAACTGTAGCTGTATAAGAGGGATGAGTGTCAGAGTTCAGTAGCAAATAAAATAATATTACTGTTTAGATGTCATTCATAAGATGCATACAGAGGAGCCTCGATTAACGAATTTAATCCGTTCCGGCATCGAGCTTGTCATGTGACACGCTCGTCTTTCAAAACGAATTTCCCCATTTAAATTAATGGAAATAAAATTAATCCGTTCCACTACCGAAAAACATCCATATGATATTCGCTTATTTAAATAATGGAGCAGGCTACCTAACATAAACTGAACGAACCTTTATGACATTTTTTCTTTTTTCAATTTTTTTATTTATTTTTTTATTTTTTTATTTTTTATAGAAAATGGAGCAGCCTACCTGACATACACTGAATGATTCTTTTCGACATTTTTATTTTTTCAAATATTTTCAATTTTTTTTTTAATTTTTTTTTTATAGAAAATGGAGCAGCCTACCTGACATACACTACATAAACCTTTTTGACATTTTTTCTTTCAAATTTTTTTAATTATTTTATTTGTTATTTTTTCATAGAAAATGGAGTAGCCTACCTGACATGCACTGAACAAACCTTTTGATATTTGTTCTTTTTCAAAATGTTTAATTTTTTTATTTCTAACAAAAATGCTTTGCAACATTACAGCAGTCACCCCTTTACATCCCAGCATTATTAGCATCTTTAAACAAAAAAAACCATTGATTTGCATTGTCGGAGGCGTCCGAGAATTTGCGAGAACCAGCCTGAACACTAGGAAGCACCACATGGTTTTCTTGTTAATAATGGAGCGGAACTCGTCAGTCGAGACAAAATTTTGGCGAGTGGCTGACTCGTTACTCGAAATGCTCATAGATGGAGCTGCTCGTCACTCGAGGTTCCACTATATGTAGAAAATACAGTAGTTGAACTACAGCTTTGAATAATAGTCCAAATCTATTGTTTATTTTTTTTCTGGCACAGGCATCAAAGGATTTTTCAAAATTTGTCTAGTTATGTATTGACTCATTCTAATAAGATTACTTGCTTCCTAACACATGACTTATTGCTAAGTAGCTAATAAACTGGCATATGGCCCTAAATTATAGTAATCTGAAAGCATTGTGTGTCATCCCTCCTGCATTGATCTTTAGCACATCAGTTCAACAAATGAATGTGTTGATTTTGCAAGAAAAAGTGATACAAGTAATTGTTAATGAGGATATCAGAATTGATGGTTGCTTGTTATTCATTTGCTTTTAGTTGTGATAGTTATCAGCTAGATATGGTAACCATCAGATAATGCTAGCCATATAGCTAGACATGGTATCCATTAGCTAGACATGATTGGCATCAACTCGAAATGGTAGCCATTAGCTGGATATGGTAGCCATCAACTAGATATATGAACCTGTTAAATGTCAAATTCTGATACTCTCTTCGGTATTTCATAGAAAACAGTCAAATTATCAAGTTTGTTTTAGTATTTTATAACAATATGTGATGTTGCTAAATACTGTACTGCCTATTTTGAACTGTGTATCAAAATATTAACTGGGCTTATGTAGAATTACATTCAAATTTCTCATGCAAGGTTGCATGTATTTAGATACATGACCTTCTAAAATTAGAACCAAATTACAGTAAATTTTCTTTTTAGCTGCTCCAAACACTATCTGCAATTACTTGTGCACAGATTGCCATATACATTTATCTCCCATTTGATTTGTTAATTATTTTTTGTCATGTGCACCGTGATTAGTACATTTAGATAGCTGAACAGTCCAAGAGTTACACAACATGTTTTGTGGCATTTTGCAAAATGGTGTCATGTGGTATATTCAGGCTTACACTGTATACTGATACTGCTTATATGGTAATGAAAATTTTAAGGCCGAGTCTGGTTTTAATTTGGATTCCAGTGCCTAGAAATATGCTATTTTCTTTTTAATAGGCTTAATTGCTATTTAAAATATACAGTAATGCTAAATATTTACTGTAATTCAAAATTTTGTGGCCTATGTGATAAACAAATTCAGTTAAGTAATTATTTATTTATGTGCATATATTTTTGCAGCAATATGAAGAGTTCAAGAATAACAAGTATGACATTTCTTGCATTTTAACTAGGTAGTTAAGCAATTTACATACAATTAAATTTATGTACAAGGATAAAGTGCTAATGTATGCTGCCAAAAATATTTGTCAATGCTGTATATGCATTTAATATTTCTTCCACTATATATAATTTGTGTTCATACCACATAACCTTTGTTTTATACTAAAACAATTAGAGATAGGGTGGTAATACAGTATTGATGATATGAGATGTGTAGAGAGAATAGGAACAAGTGTTGATAGTATATATATATATATACACACTGCATCTGTGATATCACCTGTAGTAAAACACTGAAGACTTAACATTGTAATACTCTATCAAAATCATTTTTTTGATTGAAAAATATTATTGAAGTTTGGCAAGTAAAAAAAGGTAAACACATCTGCATATATTATGCAGTAAAGCTCAGAATATAAAAGCATGTAAAGAAATCAAACCTGTATGGTTTCTTCTCTTTTTAGGGATGGATGTCACTACTCACCATAGATACATTTTGAATAAAATATTAACTTAATAATGCTTATATACATCTTTGTGTTTATGATTTTCCTTTTTATTCCTTCTTATCATCTATTGGGTATTCCACAGTATATTTTACTTCATTATTTTCAATTATTAATTTTTTATTTATACTTTAGATCATCGTTTTAGTTTTTAAAGTACTGTATTGTACTGTAAACACATTGACTTTTTGTTAATTTTACATTTTATGTTATATAATTTAACTAATAATTGTACTGTACTGTATATAATTAGCGAGGTTCCCCAATACACAATTACGAATCGGCATCGTATCATCCTGCATCTATCGAGACGGCTCTAATACTGTACAATAGTATTTACATTGATACTTAACACTTTTTTTTTTTGAGATACATACAAGAGTTGTTATATTCTTTTACAATCACTAGTACGCATAGCGTTTCGGGCAAGTTCCTGGAATACGATCCCCGCCGTGAAGAATCGTTGTTACAACCAAGTACACATTTTACTGTTGCGTTAAACAGAGGCTACAGTTAAGGATTTGCGCCCAGTAAATCCTCCCAAAACACTCTGAGTACTGCTGACTCACATCTCTGATTCTGGCTTCAGTTCCAGAGTTCTGTTATTTAATGATGGTAGACAGAAGCTATAATACAGTATATAGCATTAGTAAATGCTGTACAGTATTTAAAAGAACAGTTCAGGTATGTCAAAATCACCATAGAAAATTCTGCAATGTAGGCCATAAGTATATTTACATTTTCCATTATTTGCTTGGAACTAAGTCTTTGAACAGAATTCAAAACTCAAAAAACCATGGCATCAGGGGGAAAAGCTTTGTTTAGTGCATGTGACAAAATTCTACAATGTCACCAAAATCAGATGGGAAAATGATGGTTGTGGACTGCATATTCCTAGATTGCCACAGACATTGGATACAGTTCCTCACAGAATGTCAATAAATAAATCAAACACGAAAACAAGCTGTTATGACAAACAAGGCACTTAACTGAGAATTTGCTGATGAGTATTAGAGTAGTCATGAGAGATGAAATATCAGAATAGAGACTGGTCATGAGGGTGGTGCTGCAGAAATTAGTTTAGGGACCATTACTTTTCCAGAAATGTGTAAACACTTTACCTGAGAAAATGTACTTCATGTAAATGCATGTAATTGATTCAAAACTAGTTAAGGATAAGAACAAAGGAGATCTGCAAGATGATATACCCATAGCTGAACTGCAAAAATTATTATTTGAATGGTTACTGCACAAGCTGAGAAGTGAGACAAGTAATACATGTACTCTTTAGTAAATTAGAAATATCAAGGAGTGGTAAACACAAGTCTTACGTAAGAACACTATGTAGCATTATTTGAAGCCAGTCCTACTGTATGCTGTGCTTGCATGGAACTCATACCCTGTAAATAACAAAAGTGAAAACCAGAAATGTACCACAAGACTGCTACCTGAAATAAGATATTTCAGCTATGAAGATAAACTAAAGGAGCTAAATCTTCAATCATTCAAGGTAAAAAATCAGAGGAGACCATCACATAGTAAGGTAATCATTAGGGAGCATTAAGGCAGTGAAGCTATGAATGACATGATCACAATATCCAAGATTTTAAGGGGCACAGTGGACAGGAATAGTCTTTTCTGATATGACTGGAAACCCAAATGAGTACAAGGCATACAATAACGACAGTATTGTACCCATTGTACAAGATGTGAACAGATTTATTTATTATTTATTTATATATATATACAAAAAGGTACATTGGGTTTATGAAAGTACATAGCACTGATGTTTTTACATTCTTGTAAAGCCACTAACACACATAGCGTTTTGGGCAGGTCCTTAATCTAACAGATAATTCTATGTAGGTAATTTCTAACAAAATTGAGAAATGTTAACAGGTTGTAAGAAAATTTACAACCTTTTAAGAAAATTTGAAGAAGATTAATTAGTAGGTACATTTTTATTTTATTTTTTAATTTTTTTTTCTAAAGTTTATTTTCTAAAGAAACATGAGGTGTAGAGACAAGAAACTGCATCAGTGTGCTGTGAATGTCTGCTTTCGCCGTGAACATCATAACCAACATTGTGTTCACTTAAACTGTACATGTATTTATATTTTCAAATCTTGCACAACGCATTACATCCTTTTAAGAGGTTTCTAGTGAAAATTGATTTTATGATTTTAATTTGTACAGAATATATTCCATTAGTACTGCTTTACTCCTGGAATATATTTTGATGATTAATTAATGATGATGAACCTTCCACTAAGAAATAGAGAGAAAACGGTCAACTTCTGTGTTAAACAGAGTTTCAGTGTTAAGCTTTCAGTGTTGACTCTTTATTGCTCATGAAGCAAATCAGGTGATACAGAAGGCATCTTTCTGTATGCATTATAAAATTAGTTTATATGTAAATTATCTATGAAATTATTGTATTATAAAAATAGACTAAATTTGTATTGAAATACAATATAATAAAATTAATCAAAAGATAATGTGGCATTTCACAGTGTATTTTATTTTATCATAATGTGTTTATTATGCTAAGATTTGTATACAGTACTTTAGTACAGAATGCTTTGCTAAGTGCTGCCATGATCGTTGTCCACTGAGAGGAGGGCATTGCCCGGGGATCCCCTCAGTGCTATCTTGAGGTTATCTTGAGATCATTTCGGGGCTTAGCGTCCCTGAGGCCCGATCCTCGATCAGGCCTCCTTTTTGTTACACACACCC